AAGGGGACAAACCCAGCTATTGGGTTGTTTTGAATCCAACCGCTGGGTCAAAACAACCCAATAGCTGGGTTTGTCCCTTTTTAACCCAGCATTTTTTAGTGTGTAGCATTATATTTGTATAAATATAATATTAACTGTATCTATCTATCTAGCACACATCTAACTTTTTTTGTAAGCAAGTCATATTTATCCAACTATCCAAAAAGGTTATCTTCATGCGTTATTACAATTACACATAATATTAAAATACTTTCACCAACACACTTTATACTAAAATCCACTTGAAGATTCTTTATACTAGGATAAATTATACATTTAACAAATACAGATGTCTGAGACTTCAAAGTGGCTGTATTGGAGGCAAAGCTTCATCAGAGCGACCAAAAAGGGTTTTGGTAATTATTATTTAGCGCGAAATGGATTGTGTGATTCATAAAGCTGCACCCGACTCAAGACCAGGCAAGAAAAGTGACAGAACGCGCTACACGCCGCGGCTCATCTCGAGACTGGAGTCGGGACAATGCGGACGCAACGCAATGCGCTAGTGTCAGAAACATATCATTACAAGACCTACAACCACCAGAATGCACAAAGTTACAGTTCATAAGAGTTGAGAACTAACCCGATTCGAACTGGTCTGAAGCAGACGCGCTGAGGCAGGCAGCAAGGAGCAAAGCTGGCAAGACCAGGCAAGAAAAGTGACAGAACGCGCTACACGCCGCGGCTCATCTCGAGACTGGAGTCGGGACAATGCGGACGCAACGCAATGCGCTAGTGTCAGAAACATATAATTACAAGACCTACAACCACCAGAATGCACAAAGTTACAGTTCATAAGAGTTGAGAACTAACCCGATTCGAAATGGTCTGAAGCAGACGCGCTGAGGCAGGCAGCAAGGAGCAAAGCTGCGATTCTCCACGAATCCATCGCTCTTCTGTAGTAGGCTATAAGAGATCTGAACACCTTCTCTTCCTCTCTCCTCGCAGGTGAAGTGTTTCGAGTCCAGTCAGGTCAGTCGAGCTGATGCAGAGCAGCTGAATGGCATGAAATCTCGCTGCGCGTCCGCGTTAAGAGCGTCTGAACTTCTAGGCAAATCAGCGCTGCCCCCAGACACTCACACACAAGACAGATAGCAGAAAAAGTAGGGATCCTATTTCAAATCATGTGACAGGAAATCGGGGCAATAGATTCAACCTGCCCCATGCATGGGGGCATATACCTGTTGCGCGCTGTGGGCTGGCCAGAAATCCAATAGCTGTGAGCAAGACAACACGGAGAGTTAAGAAAACAATCCCTGAAGACTTTAAAATCACTGTCGTTTCCACGATAGATAGATAGATAGATAGATAGATAGATAGATAGATAGATACTGTTTTTTAAATAAAAGAAATAAAATGAATACATGAAAAAATAAAAGACTAAAAAATTAGATATTTACTATGATAAATATTGCTTGTACATTTTAATGCTTGTGCAACTGTTTAAGACAGACATACATCAAAATGTAACATCTAATGTTAAAATGTATCATGTATGTTTTTAATGTAACTTTCTCCCTTTAATATACTTTGGTCATTTCAAGAATAATTTATGCAATTTTACATTTTTTATTTGAAAGTATCAAATGAGCAGTTTCATGTCTATCCTTGTATTGTTCACTGGGCTAGGTGGATACTGGATTTAGAAAGTGATTTGTACCAAGAAATGCAATACTTTTTAGAGAGAGTAATTAGTACAGTAATCTGATTACACTAATAAAGTAATTAGTATCATAATTCATTACTTTTTTAGAGTAACTTACCCAAAACTGTTAGAGTTCACTTAAAATAATTTTAAGTACATTTTAATCAAAATACTATTAAATACGATTGAATAATCAATCAATGCATGCATGAAAAAAATGACTAAAGAAATAAAATTAGGACTTTATCATAAGTTAGTTTTATGATTATGTATATTATTCTGAGTTAATATTTGCCCTCCTTCTGTGTTTACATAAACGGGCTGAATATGACTTAAATGTACATTTCAAGCCTGACAGCCTTCTGTGGTAAATAATGAGCAGCATCAGTTGTGCAGAATGTCTCTCTCTAGTGGGAGAACACATGAATGGGGGATCCATTATCTCAGTCTCCAGTGCAGAGCATGCAGAGGGCAGCAGCCATAACAGGATTCTTCAGTAACTTCATCCACCGCTGAAATTAAAACGAACTCACCCAAAACCCCAAACAGCTTGGTACAAATAACACTTGCTGCCTGCTGCCTTTTTTTAAAGTTTGAAATGACTTGGTTGGGTATGAATGTGACCATAAGGGAGTGAATCATCAGCAGGATGGTCGGCACACTGTAATACAGAGCTGGCTTGAAGGTGTCCTAATTTGTCTACAGATGATATGTACGGCTTGATCCAGTAATAACTTCAAAACACCAAAAAAACACCAAACCAACATGATTAGATTTGTCTCATGCATCAGCAAAGTCAATGCTCTTACTTAAAAGACCATGTGACTACGTCAAAATTAGATTGTCGAGCCCAAACAAGTTACTCAGGTGTATTCCAGATAGTTAGATGTGTCAGTGTCTTCAGCCTTTGTCTGATGTTTGTAAGTATATGATCATTATAAGCATTCGCGCGAGAGAGGACACACTCCCTTTCCTTATAATAGTAAACCTGCATGTCAAATAACTGAAAATGTGCATTTATTTATTTATTTTTTTTTTCATATAACTTTAAGGGTTTGCAGTTATTTTACTTAAATCAATATATGAATATACTATAACATTTTATTTGATATTTAATAGATTTTATATATTTATATTCTAAAACTATAATAATAATAATGTGTATGATATGCTTGTTTTGTGATGTAGGTGTATATTAATATATATAGTAATTAATTTTACAGTGTAATTGAATGTTGTAAATGTGAACTATGCATACACACGCGCGCACACACACATATTTACAACATATAACATATAAATATAGCTAAATATGAAAATGTGCATTTATTTATTTTTTAATTTTTTTTCATATAACTTTAAGGGTTTGCAGTTATTTTACTTAAATCAATATATGAATATACTATAACATTTTATTTGATATTTAATAGATTTTATATATTTATATTCTAAAACTATAATAATAATAATGTGTATGATATGCTTGTTTTGTGATGTAGGTGTATATTAATATATATAGTAATTAATTTTACAGTGTAATTGAATGTTGTAAATGTGAACTATGCATACACACGCGCGCACACACATATTTACAACATATAACATATAAATATAGCTAAATATAACTTCTAGAGATCAAATATGAGACATATTAAAATCCAATGCAATACTGTATAAGCGAGATACATGGTACATTAATTCAAAGTAGAAAGAAGTATTTAGTTAAGTATCAGGGCTGATATTGGTTGAATATTGAATATTTAGAAGGGTCAAATAATCAGTAGTCTGATCAGTAGTCATTTAACATGTGTTATACTTTTGTCTTAATTTGTCATCTCAAAAGCCCTGAGATTTAAGGATCTATTTCTAACTTGTCAAAACATGTTAAAAGCTGATTATTGGTTCACTGGAAAGTCCAGTATTTGATCATTATACTTGCTTCTTTAGTGCTTGTATGGTTAACACATTTCCCAAGATCTATTCAGATTTGAAGGACTCAAGAGTGTTAGGGGTGGATATTAAAACCGAGGAACCGAGCCAAGGTATCATTAATGATGCTGTGTCTCTCCTTCATTTCACATCTAATCTTTTTATCACTGTCAGAGCAATTATTCTCACCTCACTGTGCCTATTTTAATTTGATTTATTAACAGATATACATGCATACACCCATCTACAGCAACCATCATGCCTGCTCCTGTTACGCTTCTGAGCCACTGCTGATTAGAGTAGATTTGATGAATGGACGGACGGACGGACGGACGGACGGACGGACGGACGGACGGACAGACAGACAGACAGACAGACAGACAGACAGACAGACAGACAGATAGATAGATAGATAGATAGATAGATAGATAGAGATGAAGACAGAACAAACATGCTATCACAATATATACATAATTTAAATTTTAAAAAAAATCTGTATTAAAATGAGCATGCTTGATAGTTGATCGCCTACACATATAGAAAATCTCTTGTCTCAGTTTATTTGAAGTTGCGTCTTCTCCCTCCAGCCACAAATATATGCATAGGTATGTATTCTTTACCCTTGGGGTTTTTAAGCCTTTGCATTCTCAAAGGAAAGATGAAAGTGGTGCTCTTAACCATACTTAACCTGGAAAAAAACACCACATACACGCACATGCGCACACCCACACACACACACTCATCCATCTCCCTATGTTTGCTTTGAGCTCTTTAATTGAAGCACAATGTCACCCAGAGGAATGGTTTGTGTTTTTACTACCTCTCATCTTTAAGGCCTTTGAGCTGCAGCCCAGCACAAGCAGAACACCCACAGCAATGATTCACACCTACTTGGTATGTTCTTCATCGCACCCTCTGATCTTCCTCCTCGCTTTAAAAGCCTGCAAGAGGAAGAACACCTTTTCACCTGCAGCACAGAAATGAACATCTTCACCTGGTCCGATCTGAAGTCTTGCTGAAACAACATCTTGTTAATTTCTGTGATGAGATTGAAGTTGGCTAGATAGATAGATAGATAGATAGATAGATAGATAGATAGATAGATAGATAGAGATGAAGACAGAACAAACATGCTATCACAATATATACATAATTTAAATTTAAAAAAAAATCTGTATTAAAATGAGCATGCTTGATAGTTGATCGCCTACACATATAGAAAATCTCTTGTCTCAGTTTATTTGAAGTTGCGTCTTCTCCCTCCAGCCACAAATATATGCATAGGTATGTATTCTTTACCCTTGGGGTTTTTAAGCCTTTGCATTCTCAAAGGAAAGATGAAAGTGGTGCTCTTAACCATACTTAACCTGGAAAAAAACACCACATACACGCACATGCGCACACCCACACACACACACTCATCCATCTCCCTATGTTTGCTTTGAGCTCTTTAATTGAAGCACAATGTCACCCAGAGGAATGGTTTGTGTTTTTACTACCTCTCATCTTTAAGGCCTTTGAGCTGCAGCCCAGCACAAGCAGAACACCCACAGCAATGATTCACACCTGCTTGGTATGTTCTTCATCGCACCCTCTGATCTTCCTCCTCGCTTTAAAAGCCTGCAAGAGGAAGAACACCTTTTCACCTGCAGCACAGAAATGAACATCTTCACCTGGTCCGATCTGAAGTCTTGCTGAAACAACATCTTGTTAATTTCTGTGATGAGATTGAAGTTGGCTGCAGTGTTTTGCTGCTTGTGTCAATCATGTAACTTGATTAACAGAGGCTTGAGTATTGTGTAGATTAATGAACCTGATGTTAATGTACATAGATCTACAGTTTGCTGGACTCGTTTGCTAGGCCACATCTCTGACAGAGTACAAAAACTGTACTTTGCCAGTTTTGTGTGTTGAGGCTAATTACAGGGTGATTGTTCTTTCAACAGCATTGGTGTGACTGAGTCAACCTCAGAGGTTTGTTAGTGGAACAATCTTTTGCTTTGGACTAATTACATTTCAAACAATGCAAAAATGAACTCTGTGAGGAACAAGTGAGAGGAAAACACGACTAAAAACGATTATACTAAACTATTATAAAAAAACTAAATGCTACCATTCAAGAGTTTTTTTCATTCAGACATTCAGCAATAACCTATTCATCAAAATAGTAAATGCATTTTACTATATATTTCTATTACAAATAAATGTTGTTCTTTTGAACTTTCTATTCATAAAAGAATACTGATTATGAAAATTAATCAATCAGCTTTTAAACCGTTTTCAACATATATAATAAAAATAAATGTTTCTTGAGCACCAAATCAGCATATTAGATTAATTTCTGAAGGATCATGCAACACTAAAGACTAGAGTAGCGACTGCTGAAAATTCAGATCTGCCATCACATGTATAAATTGCATTTTAAAATATATAAACATCGAAAATAATATTTCACAATATTACTGCTTTACTGTATTTTTTATCAAATAAATTCAGCCTTGCTGAGCATAAGACATTGCTTTCAAAAGTATTAAAATAATCTTCCTGATCCCAAACGTTTTCAATGCTATTGAGTATAAAAGGCCTCAGGGTCAAAAGACTTAGAGCTAATATGTGTTCCATTATGGACACCAGGTGCTGATGGTATGGTTATAATGCAGCATTTGTAATGAATTTCAAACATATTGCATTTTAACATGACACTTGTAGCAGGTGCGTTTTGGTTCCTGGTAATTTCATATCTACTTCAGATCCACTATAGCATCCCTTATAAAAGCCATCTGGAGCATATCTGGTACTGTCGCTGTTGGGATGTAGATTTTTCAGCTATGAGTTGGCATAAGGACAATCGATGTCATTTGCTTTTGTTTGTTCGGAATAATTCACCCAAAAAATTTTTATTCTGTCAAAATTTTCTTCTATGGAACACAAAAGAAGACGTTTTGAAGGATGTTCACGCTTCTCTATTCCATACAGTGAGGGTGGATGGGGACTCTCAAGCTCCAAAAGGACAAAAACTAAACTTAGGTTCATCTGGCTGAAGTACATAATTAATGTCTTCTAAAGTCAAACAATATCTTGATGATCTTTGGTCACTGGTAACTATTCACTTTAATTTTATGACAATAACTCCTTTTGTTCACGAAAGAACAAGCCATGCAGGTACTGAAAAACATGAGAGTGAGCAAACAGCAACATTTTAAGTGAACCATCTCTTTAAGAACGTAAAACATTCAGATAATGTCTTTATGGTGCAGGGATGCATCATTGCAGCACTTGAAGGGGGAAGGAAGAATTTGAAACATGATGCTATTTTGTGTGTTTCTCTGTTTACAATTATAATGTAAAGTGAGAGGTGAAATACAGCAGCTTTGGGGCACCTGATTCATGTTTAATTCAGTTAACGCTGAAAGAAAATGTATCAAAGGGTGATTACTCTAAAATTGTTCTACCAGGAAGTAAAGACATTTTCTGCAAGATTTACCTTCTAATATGATTTGAATGAGTAATATTTGTGTGAAACGACTTTCATGTTCATGTATACAGTCATGCAGTGTGACATAATATAAAGAGAGATTTTCAGCATTAATCAGCAAAAATAAGTGAAAGTTTATGCAACCGGCCCCAGTATGTGTAGTCAGTGTATTCCTTCCACATGTGACATCACAAAGAACATTCTCATTCTGTTACTATAGCAACGCTTGTAGAAGCACAGTTACAAACAACAGCGATAGAAGAGAAACATAATGACATTATTTCATCATTCATTTAGTGTTTCTGTTTTGACACTAGTTCATAATTTTTATTATTTATTTGTCAACCTTAAGAATGTGAAGGTCAATTTGATATATTGCAAATAATAATAAGCTAAGAATATATCATATTAACAGATATTTGCATATAGCTGAGATATCAATAACTTAGCATTATTGATATTTATAATTAGATGTAAACAAAAAAATCATAATTTATTCTAATTGCTTTAAAAATTCAGTATTTTAATGATTTTAAATGATTTAATATGCAAATAATGATTTTTTTCTAGTGTGTTTCATTTTTATCTCACACTCAGAAAACAACTCAGAAACTTTGTAGAAAAGTTGACTTTCTAACTAAACTCCCTTAGCTGATGAAAATGTTAAATTCTGAACAACTATGACAGATTGTTTTTCTTTAATATAAAGTCATATTTCATTTTATGAGGCGCGCTTGATTAATAGCTGAGAATGGGGGAACCCCCCTTTTTTGTTCTCTCTCTCTCTTTTAACTTGCTTTTGGCAGATCAAACCTATTCAGCCCAGACCATTACACTTAATCATCCAGCATGCTGGGTCAAAGTCATTATCTGTAATGGCAGGGACAAAGCTCTCCCAGATTTGGGGGGATTCTGGGATGGATTTAGATTATCCTTTAAAGAGAGAGCTGTTCCAGCCACATCAGTCGCGTAAATCTACTTTCATGTGCAAAGGCCAGTACGTTGCTGCCCATCTTAACCAGACTCACTGGGTTTGATTAAGACTTTATAAGATATGGCTCATCTTTAATGTTTTAAAATAAATCCACGGTGACTATCAAAAAAGGAGCGAGAAACAAAAGGTTGTACGTCTGATGTCTGAGATAAAAGTGCAACCTATAGGGACTGAACTCAGATGAAACAATCTAAAAGCTTTTTGAAAAACAACAGCGCTGTTTAAGTTGGCAGGAGGATGCAGATACAAAGCTACATACTCATGGTGGTATACGAAGGACGGAAGAAATATGATAGGCCTTAATTGAATTAAGACACCAGAGATTACATGTTGTCTTCAAGCTTGGTTGGCAAAGAGAAATGAGGAGGGAAGGGAATAAATTAAAAAAAAAACTCCAGTCGGTGAGAATTTGCATGCCCTGGAACAATGAAGCTAGGAAAAAAGCAAACAACTGGAATACAAACTTTGAGACAATGTCCAAGGAAATAAAGAAGTGAATATACAGTGGGTACGGAAAGTATTCAGACCCCCTTAAATTTTTCACTCTTTGTTATATTGCAGCCATTTGCTAAAATCATTTAAGTTAATTTTTTTTCCTCAATGTACACACAGCACCCCATATTGACAGAAAAACACAGAATTGTTGACATTTTTGCAGATTTATTAAAAAAGAAAAACTGAAATATCACATGGTCCTAAGTATTCAGACCCTTTGCTGTGACACTCAAATATTTAACTCAGGTGCTGTCCATTTCTTCTGAGCATCCTTGAGATGGTTCTACACCTTAATTTGAGTCCAGCTGTGTTTGATTATACTGACTGGACTTGATTAGGAAAGCCACACACCTATCTATATAAGACCTTACAGCTCACAGTGCAAGTCGACATCTTGAACAGACAAATTTATAATTCCATAATTTCCATATCTTCACAAGCAGGGGATGTTTGTTGAGCTGACACGTCTCTGCACCTGCCAATTCCTAGAGCCTTACCTCGAAACGGCTGCAGAATGATGGGAACTCTAATGGTTTCCGTTGTAATGGAAAGGGGGAATACATGTGCGAGGGAGGAGTGAGCGTGTTTTTTCTCCGCTCCCGCTTTCTGTGGTGTAGTAAAGCGAGGTACAGGCCTTTCCTGTGGCCTCCGCAGAATGATGCTGAATGTTAAAAACAGAAGTGACTCAGGAGATGATGAAAGACATACTGTCTGCCCACTCCAGAAGATCTGGAAAGTACTGGTGAGGATGGGGATGAAATGTGTGACTGAGTCAAAAAAGAGGTCAATAGTCTACACTTGATCTCATTTGTGATTTTTTTTTAAATTTATGTAATAGCAAAAAAAAAAAAAACCCCAACAAAAAAAATAAAACACCTGTTTTTCAGCTCATACTTAAGAACAAGAATACCAAATGCCTTTTGTTCAGTTAATTGTTAACAATACTGGACTTTATAAGGTGGCAAGCTGAAAACTAAGGAATGGTACATCCAAAAATGACCCATTCACAGAGTTCATGTTTATTTACACTTCCTCCAAACTTTACACATTCATGTTTTGCTATAAAAATAAGCAAAATGCTCATCACAACTGAGAAAAGCAAACAGGAATATTTGAGCATGCAAAGTTAGAAAAAAAGTGTTAAGCTGCCTTCAGGAACTGAGTTCAAAAGTCTCTTTTGCTTGGGAAGGTTGCACTTGTTTGATCAAAATAGTAAAAACAGTAACATTGTAAAATATTACAATTTAAAAGAACTGTTTTCTATTTTAATTCATTTTAAATCAATTTTTGAATCATTTTGAAATGTTTATTATCTGCTTTTATTGTTGTGATTATTTTTTATAATTGTTATTTAATTCCTTTTATGTGAAGTACTTTGAGTTACCATTGTGTATGAAATGTGCTATATAAATAAACTTATATTATACACTATTTATTTATTTTATGGAAAAGCTGAATGATCCTTCAGAAATCAATCTAATTGCTGATACCATAATATCTTATGGAAGAAAATACAATTATACAAATAAAATAATAAAAATTATAACAGGAATAAAAATAAAAAAATTATTAAAGAAAACAGTAGTGCTACTTAATATTTGTGTGGATTCCAAGATGAATAAAAAGTTTAAAAGAACAGCCTTTATTTGAACTATATTATACATGTCTTTACGGTCACCTTTAAATTGAACTATATTTAAATACTATTTAATGTAGCTTGCTGAATAAAATTATGAATTTCTTTTTATAATCTTACTGATCCCAAATCCAAACAGTACTTTATAAAAAAATCTTGTTTATAAAAAAACTCTTTCTCTTCTTTT